GTGACTACACAAAATGTGTAACCTATATCAAATTGCTTGCCTTCTCAACGAGGGGATGGGAACAGAGGGAGAGAGTTTGGAACTCAAAATTTTAAAAACGGTTGTTAAAACTTGTTTTATGTGTAATTGGGGAGAATAAAATACTAAATAGCAGAAAGTATATATTTATATGTATATATTATCATCATCATAGTAATCATCTTTTAGAACTGGAAGGAAGCAAGCTCTAATTTTCACACTGGTATGTATATATACCTGAAAAAGGTTTCATAGGTATTTTATATCAAAACCAGAAAATAATATCTAACTTGATGGATGAAAATTGATAAGCAATGCAGGACAGAAGCATTTACTCTTGTATCCAAGCATATTATATGTCAGTACTTAAGGGGTTATTATGCCACTTTATTAATGTGGTTATTTTCTCTGTTTCTATTGATTATCCATTTATCTACTCATTCATGCCCTTTGAGATTCAAGCCCATATTGTCTTAATGGATTTTTTACCCAATGTGGAGTCCGTACAAATTGGAACAACCATACCATTTTGCACAGTTGCAAATCAAATCAGCAAAATCAAAGATTAAGAAATCTCCATTAAAGAACTGAACATCTCTTAATATCTTAAGCCTAGAAGAAGTCAGACTAGGGCAAGAATATTGGAAATTGAATGTCTTTCACAGTCAGAAATAAGGGTACTTTGGGTTAATATTAAAGTTCTACATCATCAATAGGCACCCTGTTATCCTTTTGAAGGAGCTGAGAATTGTTCCAAACTTTTAACAAAATCAGTATGAAGTTAGGCAATAAGAATTTTTTAATTGTTATACTCTTTGTCCAAGTGGTCACACTATTTAAGGATTATAGATAGGACAGCACTGTTTTTTCCCCCATAGCAGAAACCTTGAGACAAACTAGATTTCTAGAGTTTGGGACATGACTAAACAAATTAAGTCACTATATTGGACCACAAAAAATAATTAAAATGAAGAATTTGAAGAAATATGGGAAGATACACAAAAAGTGATGTATAAATAAAGCAGAACCAAAAGAAATCAGTCTTGATTGTAGTGAGACAACAATCACAGCAATAAATGGCTTTGTAGACACAAAAAGGATAAAGTTAGCATTGTGTTAAAGCCAATAATACATGTATTAAGAGCTAGAATTATCAGAAAATAATCAAAAGTTTATAGACAAAATATACAAACATTCAGTGTTTTGTTTCTTTTCCATGCTCATTTTACCTTGCTTATGCTCTTATTTATATATGTGAATTACCTGTATTTGTCTATGGAAGTTAAAAGAAAATTTACATTAATTTATACTATTAATAAAATTTACCATAATACATATTAAAGTATGCATCCACTGAAGTTCTTTTGTGTATATTTGATGATGACCTTTGAAAGAAGCTTCCTTGCCTGTAGCCTCTGTGCTCAGTCCTCTATTCCATCTTGGCTATTTTCTTTCTGCCCTGAATTATTCAAGGACCGTGGAAGAGTTGCCTTCAGAAAAAAGGCTTGAAGCTATTTAATTTTCTGAAATGAATATACTGCCACCACAATTTCCAGCATCTAGAATCACACTGAATTTATTATTTTTTTACATTTTCAGTTGTTTCTGAAGCAACTGGTATAGCTATTTGTTTTCCTATGTTGGCTCCTTTCATACTTGGATAATAGCAGTACTAATGATTGCCTTTTACCTATACTTTAAGAAAACATTTATTTATTTATTTATTTATTAAAACTTTTTTCCCCTTAACTTTAATTTTCAGAAATATTGCTTTTCCTTCCCCCACCCAGCAATCCATACCCTTGTTAAAGTAATCTAAGAAGGATGGATTTTCCTTCATTTTGCCAAGGCCATAGTTTATAAACTCGCAGGCTCTCTGATTTCCAGAATCAAAATGCAGATCTTTAGACTTTTCCTCTGCATGCACAGAAAATTAAAAGCAATTCATTGTAATAAAATATTAATTAAAATCTTACAACTTTTAGTATATTTCAAATATTGTATGAGCACCATTTTTCTGAGCATTTTGTTAATAAATATTTTATATTACTTTTGCTATTACATAAAAACTTTAAGCAGAAATTGAATACTACATAATATTTAAACTTCCTATATGGAGGAGAATGTCAACTTTGTGGATCCCTGGGTCTATTTAATGGATAAATTTGATAATTGTAGAAGTATATTAGTCTAGTAGAATAGGAAAATGAACCCTAAATTTTAAATAATGCAGGCAGTTAAATTCCTTAGCTCTAAAAATTTGAAGTAGTTAGTAATATCACTAATTATATTACTATATTATTAATTATAAACCCAGTCATTAAGTTGGGGTACTTACTAAAAATAATTTGGCAGTCATTTCATAAATTTTAAAAATAATATTACTATACTTTGATCTGTCAGCACTTTGATCCATAAAATATAGGCAGCCTATGTTGAGGTGACTGAGCCATAAAAAAACTTTAAAGCATGAACCTATGATTCCTTTACTTTTTTCCCTTTTTTAAATGAGCAAGATACTATGGACATGTGATCAACACGTATTTCAGTTATCAAGACTAATGATATTGTTTGATGCCCATACCGGGATCACTCCATTTTTGTTACCTGATTTTTAATAAACTACCCTTCATCCTTGGAATTTTACACTAGTTTATAAGTTGATGATGCTACACATAAGCAATACTTAGAAATACTACAGGAGGCCTTTCCTGATTTTTTTTTTTTTTTGGCTGTTGGGGTTAAGTGACTTGCCCAGGGTCACACAGCTATTACGTGTCAAGTGTTTGGTCTGAGGCCAGATTTGAACTCAGGTCCTCCTGACTTCAGGGCCGGTGCTCTATACACTACGCCACCTAGCTGCCCTTCCTGATTTTTAATACCCTACCCCCACCCAAGTTATGTGTATTTCCTAAAATTACTTTGTATGACTTAGTTATAGTGTTTAATGTTGAAGGCAAAGACTATTTCATTTTTGTCTTTCTGTGCCTGAGACAGTGCCTTGTGTGTAGGTATTTAATATGTTTTGTTGACTTGAATTAAATCGAAGACTGAAAAGGAGTACAGGGAACAAACTTAGGGTTTCAGTGAGTCACTGGGAGATGTGTCCATTTCATATAGGAAGAAAATGAGTGATAAATGAACATGCTACACTGTATTCTTTGATAGTGGATTTCTGTTTCTAATTTTGTCTTAATGATTATATACATTCCTCTCCTACCTGCATTTTTATGGATTTTCTTGATTTTTGAGGGTATGTGTATTTTTAAGCTTCTACCGGGGTGGGGAACCTGTGGCCTCAAAGCCACATATGGCCCTCTAGGTCCTCAAGTGCAGCACTTTGACTGAATCCAATCTCCACAGAACAAATCCCCTTAATAAAAGGATTTGTTCTCTAAAACTTGGACTCAGTCAAAAGGCCTCATCGGAGGACCTAGTGGGCCATATGTGGCCTTGAGGCCACAGGTTCCCCACCCCTGTAAAACAATTAAGACAACCTATTTCCCCCCATAAGAAAATGATTACTTAACTTCTATACTAAAGCTTAGAGGTTTGAGACTGACCAATCCTGTTATTTTTTCCTACCAGATGCCCCTGAATTTTTCTCTCATTTTATTTTTAGTCATGTCATTTAATATTTTCTAAAGCTGTGTAGTATGGTGTAGTATAAGGATTTAGTGTCAAAGGATTCTAGATTTGAATCTTGGCTCTGCTACACTCACTAATTGTGTTACTTTGGACAAAATTCTTTCCTCATCTATAAAGTGAAGGTGTTTTTATCATCACTGAAGCTGCTTCCAGCTCTAAATCCTTGTTCCTATGAAAAGAGCACACAAGGAAGAGATAGAAGATCTAGACTCAACTCCCTGCTCTGGCACTTTATGACTTTAGGCAAATCATTTAACTTCACTGATCTTTTGTTTCCTCATTTGGGAAAGGAAGGAAGTGGGTCACACTAGGTCCTCTGAACCTTTTTTGTGCCATGGACCCCCTTGGCAAGGTTGGGAAGACTGTGGGCCCCTTCTCAGAATGTTTGTAAATGGATAAAATTAAACAGACAGAATTACAAAAGAAACCAATCATTATATTGAAATTCATTTATCTGATTACTTTTAGAGTTCATTGACCAGAGGTTAAGAACTTTTGCAATAAATAATATCTAAGTTCTATCTGGCTCTGAGTTGGTTTTGTGCAGTCATAAGGGAGAGGTGCTGATCCTTCCTAGGCTCCCACCTTGTGAATCAATTTTGCTGAGCTAAAGAAAGGTATTATTAGTTGACAGGTGAGCACCATAGGATTTTAGAGCTGGAAAGATCTCAAAAGATAATCTAATCTAGACCAGAGTTTTTTTTTTTTTAGGCATTTGGGGTTAAGTGACTTGCCCAGGGTCACACAGCTAGTAAGTGAAAAGTGTTTGATCTGAGATCGCATTTGAACTCAGGTCCTCCTGACTTGAGGGCTGATGCTCTGTCCAGTGCACCACCTAGCTGCCCCTAGACCAGAGATTCTTAAACTGGTGTCTGTGAACCATCAAGGAGGTTCATGAATAGATTTCAAGTAGTCTTTGGACTTGGTTGGGGGAACTGTTAAATTTTTATCTCAACATTATTAGTTTCCTTTGTAATTCTCTATATTTATGAATTTTAAAACATTTTTTCTGAGAAGGGGTGCGTAGGCTTCACCAGACTGCTGAGGGCGGTCCATGACACAAAAATTGTTCAGAACCCTGATCTAAACCAACTAATTCATTTTGCAAATGAAGAAACTGAAGCCTGGAGGAAAGGTCAAGGTCACACAAGGAGTGAATGGCAGAGATAGGACTTGCACCCATATCTTCTGGTTATTCACCAATTGGGTTGGAATGTCAGGCTTTCTCACCACTGTACTCCTCTGGCACTGCCGTGGATGGCTTTGGTTAACTGTGGATCTTTAAAAAAAAAAATGGTGTTCTTATTAAACTCGAAATGTATTTGCCTTTGAAGGGGTCTTGCACCTCAGAATAAACCAGAGCTACAGAAAGTGATGGAGAAGAGAAAACGAGACCAAGTGATAAAGCAGCAGAAGGAAGAGGAAGCCCAAAAAAAGAAATCTGATTTAGAGATAGAACTACTGAAACGGCAGCAAAAGTTGGAGCAGGTGAGTGGGCAGTGGTGGGATGCAAATAGTGTCTGCTTGGTGAGACAGAAGAAAATTGGAGCTCAGCTGACAAACATACAAGAGCTCTGGAATAGAAGAAATATGTTCGGTTAAGGAAATGAGTGGAGTGAAACTCAGTGAAGTAAAGAAAAGGCCTGTGATGTAGGAACAAGAATATGGAATCAGAGATAGAAGTGAGGGGGAAGTCATCAAGGGTATTCTTGGAAAACACCAGAAGCAAGAGGGTGGCTGTGGGACAAAGGTACAAGAGAAGACTCTTTTTGGAAATTATTTCTGAATTTGCCATTAGTTTGGGAAAATACATCTCACAAGTCAAGGCTCAGTCTTCTCAGATAGGACACTAGACATTTACATAGAGAAACAACGTGGTGTAGTAGTGGACGGAGGTGTCTAGCCTGGGAGTCAGGAAGACCTGAGTTCACATTCAGTCTTACTCACATTCTGACTCAAGGCCCCAGGCAGTTTTTTTTAAGACCAAGTTACCAATCTTTGTTGGTGGGGTGAGTTTCCTTGTATGGAGTTTCCCAACACTAAAGAATCATAGGTTCCAGATAAAAATATCACCAGTGACAATATAAACATACAGCTGCTTTGGCTTTGGACAAAATAACATACATCTACAGACAGTATATATAAATACATTCACAGTTTTCGCTTGACTGTAAATTTGTATTATGCAAATTTGACCTTACATAAAGAATTCTGAAAGAAATCCACATTCCCAAAAAACACCTACATTAACTTTACAGTACTATGCTCTCTCTCCACTCCTGCCAAAAGGTTGGTTCTCTGTTGCCTCCCACCCCTCCACCAAAAAACAAAAACAAACCTCCCAGAATGGACATTGCTGCCACTGGGTGGGGGCTTGGCTTGAGACCTCCAGAGCTGAGAGAAGAGACCTTTGCCCTGCTTCATCCACCCACCCTCATGTCTGACTTCCATTTGTCTGAGCTTGGGTACTGAGTATCTGTCCCTAGCCCGTGTGTTGCCCATCCTCTCCTGTCTTTGTCCTTGTCTGGCCCCAGGTGTCTGCGGGCCTCCCCCCCCGCATGTTTTTCTGCTTGGTTCTGGCCAGGCCCCTATGTGGCTGACCCTGACCTCTGTGTGTTCCTCTTCTTTCTCTCACTTCTCTGTCCCCAATCCCCATGTGTCCTTGCTTGGCCCCCTTCCTACCTCCCTCCCATTTTCCACATCCCGTTGCATTACATACAAATCACTTTAGACTGCAAAATGATTCACTTACAAGGACTGTCCATAGTACTTTTTATTTGCTAAACATTTTCCCTCATAATTATATTGGAAGAGAGAAAGCAATTATTTTTTACAAATGAAGGCACTACAGGCTCAGAGAGAGATTAAATGGTTTGACCAGGGAAATAAGATCAATAAATGGCAGAACCAGAGGCGGGTCAGTCTTGTGGCCTCTAGGACTCTTTCCCCTACATCTCTCTTTGCCTGGTATGTTTTTGTTCTGGGAAGGATGAATGAGGAAAGCTTTTTTTTTTTTTTTTTGGCAGTAAACTGGGATTTCAAACAATTTGGTTCATGGATAATTCTCTATTGTGTTTTTTTTTTTAACTAGCAGTTTGAGGGAGAATGTGTGTGTTCATCTGGATGCGCATATACATATTAGTTATTACTGGTCAGTAGTATTACTTGATCTCTAAAATGGGGTCATAGTTGTTTCTTTTCATCTTGGTAAAGTAGAGGATAGTGCGAGAAAAGTTGGAGTTTGATGGGTGGTGGGTAGTGACTGATGGAAAGGGATGAGTGTTCTGAAAAACTTGTTGCTCTAAATATCATATTTTTTCTATTTGTGACTCTCATTTAAGCTTGAACTTGAGAAGCAGAAGATTCAAGAGGAGCAGGAAAATGCCCCAGAATTTGTGAAGGTGAAAGGAAACCTGAGAAGAACAGGCCAAGAAATGGCGGAAGTCCAGGATTCTTAGGCATACACTGTGCAGAAACTTGCTGGACTCTAGCCCCTTGCTGCAGAGAGGATGTTCCTGTAGGATCATCTCCAGCGCTGCTTCCTCTTGAGCCAATAGTAGCATGGAGAGACATCTGTTTTTGAGAAAAAGCCAGCCAGCAGAAGTTTTAATTTTTAAAAGGGGTTATTTTGTTTATCATTTTTTCTTGAATCTGGGGGGGATAAATTGACTATGATAGCTGCAGTTCAGATTCGCCAAATGAAATATGTTGACCAGCAGATAAGCAGCTTATTGTTGGTATAACAGACTTGTCTTCAGAGACTCAAAAGAAAGGATGAGGACACTGGAGTATCTTAAGTGTTGCACTACTTGGTTTCTTCCAACCTAACTGTAGTGGGGACATAGTACTTTTATTTTTTCTTCTTTTAAAAAATATTATTTTTCTAACTCTTGGTTATCTTTTAAAGAATTCAGCTTACACAAAAATGTGCTTATCTGTTACTTTTCGTGACTGTGACTCTGGTTTGGAAAGCCTGAAAATCTTAGCATGGGTTAAATCTTAACACCTAAGTGTGGAAAAAAATGTTCATTTGTATTGAATGGTCAGCACAGGTTGTATCTTAGTTGACCTGAAATTATAGGATTAGGAAGCAGTGAAGAAGTTTTAAAATCTCAACTCTGAATCCACTTTTAGTAAAACCATAATACATAGATTATGTAGGAATTTTTTTCCTTTTTTTAGTCATTTCTATTTTTGAGCAGCAGTATATTATTTGGTTAACATTCCAACCCAAAGAAGGGTATTTGACATTTTCCCTGATGGTTTGATGGCATAGTTGTCCCTCTCAGTATTTTCTTTTTTTGTTTTTTCCAGCTCGTTTGTTTAGGCAAAATGTTGGGAGTCTGTAGACCCAAGTTCAGTGTTATAAGTAGAGGTCAAGATCCTTTAATTACTTTGGTCTTCTCTTAGCCACATGGGGAGAATCCTAAGTGGGAGCTCTGTAGCAAGATATTTTAGCTTAATGTGATGCAAGTATGAACTGGTCTCAAGGAGACTTACTTTAGAAGATTTTCTTGCATTTGTACATTTTGAATGTTAGAAATGAAGCTTTGGAAAATTTTTGATTAATGATCACACATGCCTTTACTGTTTTTTTTTTCCTGTGAAGGCAGCATATTACCACTGTCTCAGTAATAATGACTACTAAATTCCCTCTCAGGAAAAGCCAATATTAGGGGAGAGACTTGCTAAGATTCTTCTTGCTAGCCAGAGTACTATTGAGAAGTAAATTCCCAGTTGTAAACAATAGCTAAATATTTATGCAAATGTATTTTCTATCTTGCATGTGCAGGAGTGCCTCCCATTTTGGATGAAAATTGGGAAAAGTGTAGTTTCAATATTGTTCTCTGTCTCGGATGTAGAGCCAGTGACTTCTTTGGGCAAGACACTATTTTTGCCTGACTTTATGTAAAGTTCAACCTCGAAGCCATCTGAGGGCTTTGAAAACTATAATGGCAGTTGGCATCATTGGGGGATTTTGTAGGACCAGATTTCAAATCCTCAAGTGAGCAGCATAGCACAAATATGTAAAGTTACAACGTAAAGATAGAGAACATGTTATAGGAAATTATATTTGAAATAGATTATCCAGTTCATCAGTGAGGATTATTGCTACAGAATACAAATGTGATTATCAGGCAGAAATGTTATTTTATCCTATTAGTTTTGTCTTTGTAAAATGAAATGGTGATGGCTGAGATTTTCCTCCCATTTCTCTACTCCTTTTGAGAAGAAGTATGGTGATGGATCATCTCAAAAGTACATTTCCAATTTCACATTGACTAGGATTTCTTCCTTTTGTGTGTCGGGTTGATGGAGTGATTTATAATACCAGGATTTAGGATAAGTCCACAACTCTCTTACTCAGCAAGATCTTAGATCTTTAGATTCCTACATTGGTGGTAAATATCTTGAGCTATTCAAATTGAAGAGATACCCATCTGCTTTGCTTGCTCAGCACAGCCCTTTAAAAGGATCATGCTATCCCTTGTCATCCCATCATAGTCTGCTTGAAGCTGCTTCTTCTCTGGTGGTGGGGAGGAGTAACAGTGGATTGGCATTTTCCTCCCAGACTCACTAGCTGGTGTGCTGAGTGGTTTTCAGCCTAATAGACAAAATGCTTCAAAACAGTCCTGTAAATATAGTGTGAAAGTAGGGTTTGTTGTTACAAAACAAGTAGAATATATAGTTAGAGTTCATCTTAGGATCCTGATAGGCCCAGCCTATAAATCTGAGTTAAAACATGGCAAGCAAAATCTCCCTTAAAATAAAAAAAGCTATACAACTTGGTTAGAATTTGTAGAAGTCTTCTGAGCAGTTCTGTTTATTGAGCCACTTTCTAATTTTGCAATGGTCTAATGTTTTATTTTAACTGTCTTTCTGTCCTCTTATTTGAAAATTTTGTTGTCTCCCACTTTGATAGCATGGTAACAAATTCGTGTTGCTTTCTAAGCTACACTATGACTTTATTCTTCTATTCTAAAAAACTTTGACTTGTTTGAGTGTATATAATATATATAAAGGGAGCCTTAACGGGTTTGTTTTCATAATTTCATAATTTAATATTTTTTGTATTTGCTCTTATATAATTGTTTTTAACTGAAAGTATTACAGAAATGAGGGTGGAATTCTTAGAACCAAAGTTATGCTTAATAAAAATCTACTACATGCTTGAACTATACAACTGTGTCTGTCACATAGAAAAAGATGGTTTGAACTTAAAAGGTAATTCTGTTCAGGTTGTGGATTAAGTTTGTTTTATAATACATTCTTCGGGCAGCTAGGTGGCACAGTGGATAGAACACTGAGCCTGATGTCAGGAAGACTGATCCTCCTGAGTTCAGATCTGGCCTCAGACACTTAGTAGCTGTGGGACCGTGGGCAAATCACTTAACCCTATTTGCCTCAGTTTCATCATCATCAAATGAGCTGGAGGAGGAAATGGCAAACCGCACCAGTGTCTTTGCCAAGAAAATCCCAAATAGGGTCATGAAGAGCCAGACACAACTGAAAATGAGTGGACAACAACATTCTTCATGTTTGCTTCCACCACCTCCAATTCTTTACCCTCTCCCTGCTCTCAAATTAGGCATTTAGGCTGAGCTGTTGTTCCATGCCTTCAGGTCCTTTCTAGGTGACTGATGAGCTATATGGCATCATGCTTCACCCAGGGTATTGAGGATTTCAGTTATTTGGGCAGGACAATAAAAGTGCTTTTGAGGATTGGGGTTGAGGGAATAGGAAAGATCTTTTAATGTCTCTGAGGTCACTGTGAAGACACCTGCATTATCTGCCTTGCTAATGGCTTGTTTATTGCCACAGGATTATTATGAAAATCAAGGGAAATATACATGTGAAAATGCTTTGTAAGCTATAGCACATTTCACAAATCTAAGGTGATGTGACTACAAGTAAGAGACTGATTATGTCTTTTTTCAGGAATATCCCCATTTCATTCATAGGACATGATGTAGCTGTAGTTTTCTAGGGTGGGGATAATGTCTACAGACTTGGCAAATTTACCCTTGAGTCAGTTACATTTTAGTGCCTTAAAATACAAAGGTTTCATAGTTCTGAAATGGTAAAATTTTAAAAATTTGATCCGAAAGGTGTTTTAGAAAGTTTCCAAGAATTTTTTTTTTGTTGTTGACAGACTTCCTAAAAACATTTGATGTGACTTGATGGAGGTGAGTCTAAGGACATAGGAATGAAGAATTTAGAATCTAGTATGCACCCTCTGTTCCATCCAACTTGGATTATTAGTAGTTCCCCTGAAACCAATAGGCCATCCTTCTTGCCTCTGCATATTCTTGCTATCTTTCACAACTTGCAGTGGAAAGAACCTTGGCTCTGGCATCAGAGGATGAGGGTTCCAGTCCCACCTGTGATGCTGACTTATGTTACCTTGGGCAGCCAATCAATAAACATCAAGTACCTGCTGTGTCCTATTTGGGGTCCCTCCTAGCTTTGATCTCAGCTTTTCAGAATCCTCTTTCCTCAAGGTTCAATCCAGGTGCCACCTCATCTATGAAGCTAGTCACTCTGAAAGCGTATTTTCTCCAGATGAGAGTATTCTCACCTCCACTCAAATTTCCTTAGAGCAATTAAGATTTCACATGGGATCATAGATTTAGAGCTGGAAGGGACTTCAGAAGCCATTGAATACAACTCCCTCCTTTTACATCTTGTACACAGAGGTTAAGTGACTTCCCCAGGCCACACAGCTTGTAAATGTGTGAGGCAGGATTCAAACCCAAGTCCTCCTGACAGTAGTAGTCTAATGCCCTATCTACTCTACTAGATGGAAACACAGGGCCTATCACACTACCAGGTGGGGCAGAACCAGATTTAAGATGTAATCGGGAAATATTTAACCAAACAATTAAAAACAACATAAAATAATTCCAAATTTAAGCCTAGTCAGCATGCGGGCTGCAGGGATCCTTGTACATAGATCAGCAGCTTTATCCTTTATACCTTCTGCCTCCTTCCAGCTCCTGTCTCCTTCTATTCCAGGACCCTTTAGCTTGTATTTAGGAATGTGCTGGTAAATGTTTATTTAGAAACTGGCTCTCCAGAAAAAAAAAATGCCTTGGACACACTTAAGTTTTATCTGCATTGTTCACATTTTTTCCATCACTTTTTTAGGATTAGAAAATCAATAAAACAAGCCCTGATTTGTATCATTTGAAGATTTGAGGTGTAAATGTTCACACTGAATATTTAACAATCCTGAATATGTCATTTCTCTGTGCAGAGTATAAATTCATTCTGGATGGGGACTGGCAATTTTTTTACTCTTCTACCCCCAGCAGGAAGCACAGTGCCTTGTACATTTTGAATAGCTGTCAGCATTATTATCTCTTCCTTTTCCAGACCACCTGATGTGTGAAATACCTTCAGCCCTGTGGTCTGAGAACAAGCTGCAGCCCTCAGTAGTGTACAAAAGGGGTGGTGCCCATGGGGATCCAGAGTTCACAAGCATCCTTCAGTCTCAGGAAAACAACTTTTCCCCTTCAGTTTTTTTTCCCCCCATCACTACCAGCAATTAAGGAAATTGTGGGTTTGATGCTTGCTAGGATTTTTCCCAGTTATTTTTATTGGCTGGCATCTAGGTGTATAGGAATGCCAGGAAGTGGTAAATAAGTAATGAATTACTGCTTTTCTACAGCATGATAAGCTTTGGAATTAGTCCCAGAATATTTAATGAACTCATTTCTCACAAATTTCCACTCTTGGGTGATGTAGAAACTCTAGTGTAACAGGATAGGATAATTTACCAACCTTTTTCTTGTGATTACAAATGTCACCTTGTTAAAATTAAAATGAACTCTCTTTTCACCATCTTTTTTAAATTCAAGGATTCATTCAAACCTCAGAGCAGGGGAGGGAGGGATTGGAAGAGTTCCTTGGTGGCTACAAAGATTCTGAATAGGAAGGAAAAAATGGTGATTACTGGTCATTAAAAAGAAAATTTACCTCTCTCCTTTCTTCTTTTAAGATAATTAGAACATAACAAAATCACTCCCAGGTCTTCTATGTTATTTAAACTCTCTTGGAAGAAGCAAATCAGAGGTAGAGAAAATAAATACTTTCTAATTGAAAAAAATTTAAAAAGGCTAAAAGAGGGGGCGGAGCCAAGATGGCAGAGTAAAAGTAGTGACTTGCTTGAGCTCTCCCCCAAACTCCTCCAAATACCTATAAAAAGGCTAAAAGAAATCAACTTTTGTACATTTACCTTTAGCACATTATGTCTAGAGGCAGCTAGATAGCATAGTGGATAGACAACTGGACCTGGAGTCAGGAAGAACTGAGTTCAAATATGGCCTAGGACACTTAAAAGCTATGTGACCCTGGGAAGTCCCTTTAATGCTGTCTGCTTCAGTTTCCCCATCTATAAAATGGGAATAACATTAGCATACATATTCATCCATTTTTGAAGAGAACTTCTCCATTTGCAGGTGAACTGGATTTAAGTAAGGTGGAGTTACAGCCTTTATCTTTCAGAGTCATTGAAGTTCACTGGCAGGACAAAAGACAACTGGTCATAATGACCCAGGATGCAGTAGATTTTGGCATCTTCAATGTCTGACCAAGCTCTACATGCTCCACAATGGAGCTTCAGCCACCTTCATGGCCTTTGGAACAAATTGTTCTCATTTCCCCCTCCGCCATTCTGCCCAGGGAAATTTTCAGATGTTCAGGGTAGACACCCCTCCACAACTCACAGGTTTGAGGCCTATTGGTTACCCTCAGCCTGGTTTAGCCCATTTGCTGAGATGGTTTTACCAGAGTGTTGATGCTGCACATGCTACAACTTCTTGGCATAGATAGAAACACCAAACAAAGAAACTGACTAATGTAATGATTGGTCACGTCAAAAACCATCACAGGCATAATAAGCATATGAAATACCATCTCTGCACCTCGTTTCAGGTGTGCAAGGTAGGGATGGGCTAGTAGCATGACAAATAGCACCTACCTCCTTAGGTTGTTGTCAGGATCAAATGAGATATTGGTAAAGAGCTTTGCTAGCTGTTGTTATTTTTGAACTGGGCTGATCCTGAAAATTGTTTTGCATGACTGAACCTTTTTTTTTTTACAAGGATTTTGTTTTTCTTATTTCAATTGGGGCCACAAAATGGGAAGGAGAGAAAATAAATGCTTGTTAATTTAAAAAAATACAAATGGCTATTATTTACACAGAACCTTGTGCTCACCTGCATCAACACTGGACAATTCAAGCTATTTATTGAGGTTTGTGTTAAGAGACAATTAATACACTAACCTGAAAAGTATTCTAGGTAACTTGCTTATAGAAATGGGTATTGAGCTCCCAGGATGACTCAAACTCTTACATTTATTCTACAAGTCCCAGGAAACAGTTGCACATTTTATCTTCCTGACGCTAAGATGAGAAAGGAGCAAAGTTACATGATTAGGAAAAATCTACTGTAGGCTAATGAAGAGTGCTTGCTTTATCATACACTGGGTGGGAATCGTTTTATCGGACCACTTTTCATAGAGTCAACAATCATAGAATTCAGAGTTGGAAGAGATCTCAGAGATCCTATTTAGAAATGTGAAGACATTTAGATCAAGTAATTTGTCCAGGATCACCCAACCCAGCTGGGATCTGAACCTAGTTTACCTGACTCTCAAATCTAGCTGCTTTTATTTATTTTTTTTTCTTCATGCCACGTTTCTAAGTGGAACAACAAATAACTGGCTTTGGCAACGGGCTCAATTGCTTAATTATCTTAAATATAGAGGTGGGAGACTAATCCTATATATTT